CTCTCTCTCTCTCTCTCTCTCTCTCTCTCTCTCTCTCTCTCTCTCTCTCTCTCTCTCTCTCTCTCTCTCTCTCTCTCTCTCTCTCCCCACCCCCTCCCCCCGCAAAAGCAGGAAGGAGGCCTACAGATGTACACGCAGAGAAGCTCCCTCGGACAGCGTGAACAACAAAGCAACAACGAATCGCAAACGACCCCTCAACAAATGCAGATTACAAGAAGGCAGCAATAGGAAATGACGCGGGGTAAACAAAACAAAACAAAAAAACAAAAAAACAACATGAGACACAAAAGAGACAACAAGGTGACTGTTATACAGCGTTACACGCGGGGACGCAGGCAGGAGGGGTGTGGCCCCCAGCTTTGCATTCAGTAGGCGACGTGTAGAACCCCGATGGGTTCGGGGGCACAAGCGTGAAGCGTGAAGTCACAATTTTTCGTCTTTTATGTGCCATCCTTGTTCACGTCGGATTTGCTGGATGGTCCATTCCGTTTGACGTGGACCGGTTTTTTTGTTTTGTTTTGTTTTTTTGCCTGGACCAGTTCTCGATTTGGGCGTGTCATCCTTGCGCGGGGAGCACGATGATCTTCTTTTCCTCTGTATCGTTCCACTTGGTTTCTTGCGAAGGACGAACCTGCGCAGGTTTCTTGGTTTCTTGGACGAGGTGGACAGGTTTATTGGGGTTTTGGGAGAGGTGGACTTGTATTCAGAAGGTCGCATGCTGGACGACATGCAGTTATATTTCTTGTGTTTTGTTCGTAAAGAAAAAAAAAAAAGAAAAAAAAAAATTGTTTTGGGCGTGAGATGTCGCGTGTCCAAGTTCGAATTGACTACAAGAGGGACCTTTTTTTTTTTTTTTTTTTTTTTTAGAGGGACCATTTTGTAGAGGGGCCATTTTGTGTATGCTGGACTTGGCTTTATTGGACGGTGTGAGCCTTGGACTCAAAGCGACTCTGGCTACACAACAGTGCATGGATTTGGACGCTATCTAGACCCGGTTCATTCACAATGTTGAACTCGTCCGAATGCACCTGGTCCAAAAAGCGCCAAAAAAGAAGAAAGAACCGAATCGGACTATGCGGGGCCATGCTAATCTTCTGTGTATCCTCGAAGGACAATCGGACTCTCAGGAACACGACCCCCCTTACACCGTAACTCCCATCCACGAAAAGAACCAAACAAAAAAACAGACCCAAACAAAAAAAAAGAAAAAAAAAAAAGGGAAAGACCCACAACCACGACTCAGGCCACACAGCCACAAATCTTACCTCGAGTACAAGCTGGGGTAACACCCCCAACAATATCTCACGACTCTCTCTCTCTCTCTCTCTCTCTCTCTCTCTCTCTCTCTCTCTCTCTCTCTCTCTCTCTCTCTCTCTCACACACACACACACACACACACACACACACACACACACACACACACACACAAACAAAAGTTGCCTCTTTGGAAGTAGTCCACACACAATGTGTCTTTACAGGAAGAAGGTTGTTTTAGAAGGCTGGGTGTCTTCTTTTCGAAAGCAAAGGCTCGCATCTGAGAGAGAGAGAGAGTGCGACTCTGATGGAGGCTTTGATAAGTAGGGGTGAGTTCATGGTTATATAGGTGGGGAATGGTATCGTGATTGCATTGATTTTGCCCTTGTTTGTGCGGTGATATGCATGCCATCCACAAGGAGGGTCGGTGGCTTTTCATTTTAGGTGATATCTGGATGAGGCGATGTATTTGTGTGTAGACTGGGTCTAGGTAAGGATATTTGTATTCATACCTCCACATCCTTGCAGCGTTTCTAACTCCGCAAGGTTTTGAGGGTTTTGCGCAATTTGTCGGGGTTTTGGGGCGCTGTCGTCTGCATGGTTGTTCGCTTTTTATTTTTGGAAAGTTGTTGAAATGCCCCTGAAAGTTCGGGTATTTGTCAGATACCCCTAAAAGGGATAGGTATGGCGAAATGTCCCTACGACAGGAGTGAAAGTTTGCAAAATACCCC